AAAGTTTGAAAAATACAGAAAAAAAGCTTGAAAACATGAAATAAGAGCAACAGAATAAAGGACAAGGTTGTGAAGAGTTGACATTTAGAATATAAGTCCACTTCGAGATAGAGATCTATGACCACTCATTTCAGAATTGGTGCTTGGCCTTCACAATTCATCGCACAGAATCGGGGCAAACAATCGATCGAATCCCATTCATCGGACACCGCGACAACAGCAACAACTCCAGCCACCGCCACCCATTCATCTGCCAATGCACGGCCCGCAACATGTTCGTTTTTGAAAACATTAATCTTTAATAATATTGAACTCTCGCCTTTCTTGGCGATATTTGTCGTCAATCTTTTCCTTACAATTACTATCGTGCTTCAGATGTAACCAGGCCTTAAATTCTTCCTCTAAAAGGCATCTATTCATAAAACTACCGAAAACAAAAGCAATCAGCCACCTCAAGTTGGGTTTTCTTGTGGCTTTCAGATCGAATCAGTGCACAGAAAACCTTTGTTTGATGGCTGGGAAGCCCATTGAGAACGATCTAAACTTTTTTGCTGTTTGAAACATCCCAAGCTTATGGCTAATACCTTAAAGTAAAAACCTAAAATTGTGCCAGCTTTACCTGTGAAATCTCCACGAGTAAATCAAAAGGTAAGTTACGTATGCTATAATATTAGAATCTACACAAAATTTGACTTTAGAAATGTTCTATTTGTTTCATAGACTTACCAATAAAAACCTAGATAAAATTAGGGTCAAAGTCGGATAAGCCTTCTACAAAGCCTTTTCAGTATTGAAAGCCTTTTTTTCAAATAAAATTTCAACTAAAATAGTTCTTTGTGTTCTAAATAGAATTCTTCTACCTCTAATTATTTTCTCCCAAAGATAGATCGGAAAAATGGCAGAATGAGTTGAATAGTTCCTATTTTTAGCTCCAGACCAGAGGTCTGGTGTAGTGGTTATCACATCTGTCTAACATACACAAGGTCGGCGGTTCGGCCCAGCTCATTTTAATTTTTCAAATTTGTCCGCCAATCGCTTTGCTTTTTTAACTACCAGAGGTAGTTTTTGATAGTAATACGAAAAGGTGAACTAGATAGGCTGGTCAAATGACTTGAGCCATAGAACTATCAACGCAGAATTTTACGCTGGATCCGAATCTGCTAAATAGCACTCTGTCAAAAGTTATGAGTATCCAAAGTTTTGTATGGGGTTTTAAAAACATCTCTCTTGTTAACAAATAACAAAGTAAGCTTCGGCAACAGCCTAAAAGCAATTTGCCTGACTCGAGCCGACTTTTCCCCACATTTAATGGGTAGAACAAACTGTAGATGTAGAGTTTTCGTTTTAGTGCCCAATCGGGAGCCGATTCATTGTGTGTCTTCGGGAGGGGAGTCAAGAGAAAAGTTGAGCGATCGCTTACAAGTGATCCGCATGGGGTTTGATTTGGGCTCCCTTGGAATCGAGGGGCGGAGGGGATGGCCGGGAGTGGGGGAAGAACTTTCGGTGGGCGCCTTGAGGCCATTCTTCGCCAAGATCTCCTCGAGTTCCTAGGTTTGCATTAAAAAAATGCGTATCCTTAGTCTTTATCTACTCGTTTAACAGGTATCTACACTAATGAAATATAATATTTGAAAAAGATCGTCACTTTCCCGATGGGGTTTGATTTGGGCTCCCTTGGATCTCTTTGATTGATCGAGGGGCGGAGGGGATGGCCGGGAGTGGGGGAAGAACTTTCGGTGGGCCCCTTTAGGCCATTCTTCGCCAAGATCTCCTCGAGTTCCTAGGTTTGCGTTAAAAAATTGCGTATCCTTAGTCTTTATCTAATCTAAAAATTTTTGCGAATTTTGCGACTACGCGGCTACGAATGTGCTACCACAGTATTAGGGTAGATTTAGTCATTTTCTAAAACTGCCCATCTCTAATGCTCTTGTATCAAAACCGATTTTTTCCTTAACAATAGCTGATCCAGCTGAGCATTACACCTAAAACACAATAGTTGGTAATTTTCAGCTCATTTCAAACCCACAGAATCAAATTCGCAAATTCAATTTCAACGCAGAGTGAAACTTCGGTACTGTGAAAAGAATTTATTCTAGAACAAAATTATTTGTATTGCTTTCTTTTGTATTGCAGAAGTTCAAGCGCAAAGTCGTTGGCTACTTTGCACGCAACCGAGAGAGAGTCAAAACTTCGGTAATGTGAAAAGTATTTATTCAAAAAGCTAATCAAACATTTGGAAACCTCCACAATTTGCACAATCCACAAGGCTGAAAGCAGGTGATTATTCGAATGATTATATTTCAAATCACCGCGTTTTCAGATGCCCATGAGCAAAATTTTTGGGGAAGGAGGGAAGGGAAGAGGAGGCAAGGAAAGAGAGGGTGGAACGGTGTAAAAAAAGAATGAATAGAATAGGGAAGCCAATCTAAGCCAAGCCATTCCCCGACGCGCCCTGACTCGATCGGCGTACTGTTTCGCCGCTTAATATGTCCGATTTGTTCCGTTGTTGCCGTTACTTAATATGCCCTGAAAGCTCTTCCTTGCTTAGAAGCTTTTCTTTTTTCACTTACATCTCGATCCTTTTGCAATTGTTGAATGTAGTTACAAGATGCGCAGACGCAGAAACTGAAAGAGAAATGTTAAGATAGAATATGTTAAGATAGACTTATTTATATCCAACTTTTGGACATGATTTTGACCTACAAAAAGAACTTTTTAGCCGTACTTAGGATTCGCAAAGAGTCTTCGGTGGAAATAGGTGCCTGCGAGGTACTCCATTACACTCTGCTTTGTGGTGATCGTCCCGGCGTGCACCTCAGCGTTCACATGATTGGCCAAAGCGGCCAAAGCTCGAAAACCAACCTTCTACATACAACTCGAAAATTCGCTGTCTCGTGGAGATTTCACAGGTAAAGCTGGCACAATTTTAGGTTTTTACCATAAAGTATTAGCCATAAGCTTGGGATGTTTCAAACAGCAAAAAAGTTTAGATCGTTCTCAATGAGCTTCCCAGCCATCAAACAAAGGTTTTCTGTGCACTGATTCGATCTGAAAGCCACAAGAAAACCCAACTTGAGGTGGCTGATTGCTTTTGTTTTCGGTAGTTTTATGAATAGATGCCTTTTAGAGGAAGAATTTAAGGCCTGGTTACATCTGAAGCACGATAGTAATTGTAAGGAAAAGATTGACGACAAATATCGCCAAGAAAGGCGAGAGTTCAATATTATTAAAGATTAATGTTTTCAAAAACGAACATGTTGCGGGCCGTGCATTGGCAGATGAATGGGTGGCGGTGGCTGGAGTTGTTGCTGTTGTCGCGGTGTCCGATGAATGGGATTCGATCGATTGTTTGCCCCGATTCTGTGCGATGAATTGTGAAAGCCAAGCACCAATTCTGAAATGAGTGGTCATAGATCTCTATCTCGAAGTGGACTTATATTCTAAATGTCAACTCTTCACAACCTTGTCCTTTATTCTGTTGCTCTTATTTCATGTTTTCAAGCTTTTTTTCTGTATTTTTCAAACTTTTCCTCTGATTCCATAAGATAGTGAGGACTGCAAAAGTAGTTCAGTATCTTGAAGGCTTAGAGTCAGTGTTTTTGCATTCTGCTTGTTTTGACCTACAGCTCATTTTTAGACTAATTTTTAGCTAAGTCTGCGTTTTCATGAAACGTATTCCTCGCAAGATTTATAGTCGTTTAATCAGCTACCATAATAACGATTTGCGTGATGCTTTTCATAGAAAAAAATTAAATATTTTTTGAGTAAAATTGAAAAACAAGCTGGTAAACTCAAACGGTAAATCTCAAATGGCTAGCATTTCATTGCAAAATGGAAAAGGATCCTTTAAAGATCAGCCCTTTCCTTATTCTTTTTCTTCAACAAGCACGCACCACTTGTTGCCCGATTCCTCCAGACTCGAGGTCCTTGTCCCATCTGAAACGGAATCTTATGCTTTATCACAGGAAAAATCTGGAATTTATGAATATAGGAAAAGCTTGATTACCTCGAGATGAAGTAGCGGAACTGGACGATCACCGATCGAATCGCGGCGGAGACCTGGACGAATCGAAGAAATCTCTGAAATTTTAAGTGAAAAGAATCGATTGCAGAATCGTTTGGAAAAGATTAGAGAAAGGAAAAGTGCTTGGATTGACGTGTCTCTTTTTTGGATTTGTCTTTGAAAAAAACAAATTCAAACAACAAACAAAAACAAAAACAAACAAACAAAACAAATTCAAATCTTTCAAGAAAAATATAGAAAGATATAGAAAGATATAGAACGATAGAAAAATATAGAAAAAAGTAGAAAGATAGAAAGTAAAAAGATCCAGATATAGAAAAATGGAAAATATACAAAGCTAGAAAGAAAGAGAAAAATATAGAAAGATAGAAAGACATAAAAATATAGAAAAATATAGAAAGATGTAAAAGAGATAGAAATACAGCAAGATTTAGAAAGATAGAAAGATAGAAAGATGTAGAAAGATATAGAAAAATAGCAAGATTAGCAAAATAGCAAGAAAGATGGAAAGCAAAAATCCAGTTTATATAAGAAAACAAAATGATTGCGCACAACATTCGAAAGATATTCTGGTTTTCAGTTGCAGAAGGCGGCTCCACCGATGCAGAAACCACCATTAAAGTCTTTTGAAACGCAGCAAGCGACGACAACACTCTAAGAATAAATATTTTTTAAATGAATTGAGAAAATTGTGACGACAAAACTAATTTTTTAAACTAAGCCTTTATCCGCCTTGTTTAACGGTGTTTGTAGCAACAGTCAGAATATTTTTTGATTGAGAATTTAACTCACTGGACAAGAGGAGTCGCACGCCGGGACGACAGCAGAGTTCACCATGGCAGAACAAGCTAAAATCTTTGATTTCTTTTGAGCTTTGAGGCACTTTGGGCCATCTTTCTAATAAGCCAAAGTTGATTTATAGGCTGAGAAATGCGCTAATTGAATAAAACTTTGAGAATATTAATTTATTTAAACTTGAACCCATTGAAGGCGAGAAGAACGGCGAAGAGAAGAGCGAGACAAGAGGAGAACAGACGCATTGCTTGTGTTAGAGCTAGTTAGAGCTAGGAACTAAATAAGGACGATAAAGAAGGAGCTTTAAAGGAGCTTTAAGAGAAAGAACGGCGAAGAGAAGAGCAAGACAAGAGGAGAGAAGACGTATGTGTTAGAAGCTGTGAACTGATGGCAGATCGAAATCATTGTCAGTCCCAATACTATTTATATTTATATGGAAGCTGGATTGATAACAACCTAAAACAAAAAATCGGATTCAAACGATCAAAAACGTGTTAACTATCTTTATGTCTATCCACTACCAGCTAGCTGCTTTCAGTTCAAAGATTTGATAACCAATTTCGTTCCCAATTCTGATTTCTATAGGCACTCGCTTGTCTTATCCCCTCCCCTTTTCTCACATCTTCCTTCTCCTCCCTCTCTTCTCTTCCCTTCCCTCTCTTTCCTTCCTTCCTCTTCCCTTCCTCCTTCCCCAATCCCTTGGATTATTTTCTATATTTCACAACACTGTATTTTCATTTCATTTCATTTCACAACACATTAGCCATAAGCTTGGGATGTTTCAAACAGCAAAAAAGTTTAGATCGTTCTCAATGAGCTTCCCAGCCATCAAACAAAGGTTTTCTGTGCACTGATTCGATCTGAAAGCCACAAGAAAACCCAACTTGAGGTGGCTGATTGCTTTTGTTTTGCGGCCACTTTTTCGATACCTCGATAATATTTTAACTCTTACCAAATTCGAATCCGCTTTTCTTGTCAATCTTCTCTCACTTCTTCACTAGAACAACTGCAATAAGAATGATTTACAGATTTATAGAGTTGTAGGCTATTAGTTGTATATGATGATAAGTTTTGAGAGGCTATTTGAAGGGTTTTGAGAGGCTGCCAATTATTGTGTGACAGTGATAAATCTTGCAAGCTTATTTCAAGCCTTTAAGAGCTTTAAGGGTTAAAATATAAGAAAATCTTATCGTTCTCATCCACGACAACGCGCGCCCTCATGTTGCAACTGACTGGCTCTAAAATAAATAGCTGTTTGGGAACTTTTAGCGCATCCCCTTTTGATTACTTGGTTTGGGGAGAATGAGTCGGCGCCGAAATTTAAAGAAACTTTTTGCACCCATAAAACCTTCTTTAAATACGCGTTTTGTTTCATCAAAATGGTCGACCATTTCTTTACAAAATTACTTTTGAGAGATTCCACAAAGCTCTTCTTTTTGCCGGAAGGAGCCGGAAAAAGAAGGTCAAACAAAAGGAGTAAAAGATAAAGAAATAAAGATGAGGAAAAGAATTTCCTGAAAGAACTTGGAAAGCTAACTACCTGTTGGTAACTCACGTAAGACAGCACACTGAAGAGAATGTGAAGTTATTGGATGTTCGGCCACATATAATCGCCTCTAGTATCTCAAAATCCACGAACGATTTCAGACCGGCGAAAAGCCATTCAAGTGTACCGAATGTGGAGAGGTATACAATACACTTCAATACAGGAAAATCCATTGTTTCAGGCGTGAGTGATCATAGAAGTGAACGCAAACACACGAAACTAACCCATTCAAATGCGGTGAGCTAATAAAAGAAGATTTTAACAAAGTGCCGCAATTTAGAAGCCTTACGAGTGTGGATATGGAGGATGTCCGAATACTTCACCGATTCATCAAGCCGTCGATTTACGGATTTATAGAGCAACTGCTTCTATTCTACATCTACAGTTTGTTCAATTGCTTTTTTCGATTGCTTCTACTCTACATCTTCTATTGCTGTTTTCTATTGCTTCTATCCTACATCTACAGTTTCCTATAGGTTTGTTCAATTGCTTCCATCTACATCTACATTTACTCTAATCCAGACTGAATACCCTAATCTAGACTGAATACCCTAATCTAAGCTAAATACCGTAATCTAGCAATTTTGGATTGAATTTTGGACCTATTCTAGATTGAATACCCTAATCCAGACAGTTTAGACTGAATACTCTGATCTAGACTGAACATCTACAGTTTGTCACATCAAGATCTAATGGAGGATTTGAGTGTTGAGCTTGCGCAAGCGACCCAGTTACGCAGATGGCCCAGTTACACAAATCACCCAGTTATACAAATGACCCAGTTGCGCAAGGTCTACCCCAAGATTTTTAATGGGCCACCACCATTAAACTTTGCCATAAAATTAAAACGTAATCGTAATCGAAAAGGCAAATATTTCTTTCTCAGAGAAAGATGAATTTGACTACAAAAATTTGCGCCGCACGGGTGACCTTGTTCATTTTCTTCTTCTTTTTATATTCAAGTTCAAAGACTCAACGAAAACATGTCGCTATGATTTTTTGATAATTTTTAGTTTTGATTTAGTTGACTAGGCATCTTCATTGCCGAAATTACTGTATTAGTTATGCTTTGATTTACTAGAAAACATTGCGACAAGCACTGAAAAGCACTGAAAAGCATTGATTACTGTAACGGTTTTCAGGACTGAAAACGCTTTCAGTCCAGAAAACGCTTTCAGGCCTGAAAATGCTTTTAGTACTAAAAATGCTTTCAGTACTGAAAATGCTTTCAGTACTGAAAATGCTTTGATTAGTGTCAGGCTTTGTAATATTGGATCGCATCTATAACACTGGATTTATATCTTTCAATTATTATGAATAATCACTACCTTTGGAATAATCACTACCTTTAATACATGACTTTTCAGTAAAATAATTTTAAGGCATCCCCGAACTTTGTTGTTGGCGCATTGTTGATGGTTTTCGAACAAATAACACATTCTTGTCTGAGGATGCCTTTTTACTACCATGAAGCCATTGGCATTGACGGACTGACTTTATTACCTTGAGGCATTTTGTTGATTTAAATTACTATCAAGTAGTAAACTACTATCACAAGGTAAAAAGTCGGTTGGATCCAATTTTTAATGATCAATTTGTTCAGCTGATCAGTTTTGATTAGAGATAAACAATCTCCCCCAGGTGTTTAAGGTCTTTTTAAGTCATTTTTCAGTGTTTCAATGCTTATTTCAACATCAATTTCGTCTTTCAAGATTTCGAAAATAGAAAAAATCTTTTCTAGTTACTTAAGCTAGCAATATAATGACGAAATAGTCAAAATAGACTGAATTCTTGTTTCAAACAATGAAAGACAATGAAAGACGATCGTCACTTTCGCGTGTATTTCGTTTTTCAAATATCATATTTCATTGTCCAGTACTGTATAAGTTTATCAAACTTTATAGGTTTGATCGGTTTCACTGATGAGCTCATCGATTAAATTGATAATCCTATTTAAGAGACAAAACATTTTTTTGAGAGTTTTATGTTTCGGATTCGGACAATGAATGATTAACGTTTGCATGTGTTCAGCGAGCAATATTTCGCATTAGCTTCGCATTAGCTTCAATTTTATTTGAAGGATGTCTTAGCCATCTTCAGAGCACAATGATTTATATAGACTATTTTCTGAGGGCACTATTTTCTGATTTGAGGATCGCCTTTAGTGTTTGAAAAATGAAAATAGAGTCAGATTTGTGAAGAATTTTAATTTTCGGTAGGTTGAGTTGAGATTCGTTAGACTTTTAATTCTCGTAACCCCTTACAGAGATTAGAAACCCCTGGGGAGATCGAATTTTTCGTATCGAAGGTTGTCGAAAAGGTGTAGTATCCATCTGTCCAAAATAGTTTTGAAGCAAAATAATAATTAACCCCTAAAAAATTTCCGGCTACATTTCAAGGAATTATAAAATATGAAAACCTCAAATGATCTAAAAGGTAAGTTACGTATGCTATAATATTAGAATCTACACAAAATTTGACTTTAGAAATGTTCTATTTGTTTCATAGACTTACCAATAAAAACCTAGATAAAATTAGGGTCAAAGTCGGATAAGCCTTCTACAAAGCCTTTTCAGTATTGAAAGCCTTTTTTTCAAATAAAATTTCAACTAAAATAGTTCTTTGTGTTCTAAATAGAATTCTTCTACCTCTAAATATAATTATTTTCTCCCAAAGATAGATCGGAAAAATGGCAGAATGAGTTGAATAGTTCCTATTTTTAGCTCCAGACCAGAGGTCTGGTGTAGTGGTTATCACATCTGTCTAACATACACAAGGTCGGCGGTTCGGCCCCGCCCGAGATCATTTTAATTTTTCAAATTTGTCCGCCAATCGCTTTGCTTTTTTAACTACCAGAGGTAGTTTTTGATAGTAATACGAAAAGGTGAACTAGATAGGCTGGTCAAATGACTTGAGCCATAGACCTATCAACGCAGAATTTTACGCTGGATCCGAATTTGCTAAATAGCACTCTGTCAAAAGTTATGAGTATCCAAAGTTTTGTATGGGGTTTTAAAAACATCTCTCTTGTTAACAAATAACAAAGTAAGCTTCGGCAACAGCCTAAAAGCAATTTGCCTGACTCGAGCCGACTTTTCCCCACATTTAATGGGTAGAACAAACTGTAGATGTAGAGTTTTTGTGGCCCTTTTTATCCCTGTCAATTTCCCAGCGGCCACTGCGGTCTCGTGGTGTAGTGGTTATCTCATTAAGCGGGCTTTGAGCTGAAGAAGTTGACCACCCAATGTTGATCTCATCGATGTCTTTGAGCTGTTCTTCTCGCAGGGAATGTTCCATATTCCGAAATAAGTGATAATCTGGGGGAGCCATATCGGGACTATACGGGGCATCAGGAAGCACTTGCCACTCTAACTCTTCGAGTTTTTCCTGAGCCTTCCTTTCCTTGCTTAATTCCTTGTATCTATGAATGAAATTGAACGCCTTTTTGGCGCGGGTTAAAAAACATCACTTGAGTTTATGAGCAGATTTTTGAAAT